ATCACTGACACATTTTACCTTTCAGTGGCTCATTTGTGACATTTTGAAAATTCTTTATGCTTACTGTTTTGTACTTTTCTCCACAGGTGTCATACATGCCTTCTTCTGATTCATTTGTTTACCAAGGCTTTGTTCGAGGAAAAGGCTTTGGCCAGTTTGGACTTCAGAGACTGGGTATGTGTGCTTGTCTTACAGGACAGTTAAACCTTATAATTTGTTAAAGGGATAAAATTAAAGTTCTGTCATCACTTACTCACCTCATATCATTCCACACCCAAGGCGTACAGCGCTTGTCGGAAGCGATACGCCTTTTTCAATAGTTCTGTATTTTGAACGCTCTATAGAAAATATTAACGTCTATTATTTATCATACTTACAGGTTGTGATTCAGTGGAGCAGCTGGTCTAAATAAACAGGATACTGATCCATCTTTCAACAGCAAGCGTTTTGTGAATCCCGCGTTAAACTCCCAGAGATTAGAGAAGCAGTCGTCAGTAGAATGATGTGTTTGTGGGCGGGGTCAAGTTGTTCGCGGCCGGCCAACATAGAATATAGGCGTGCATCATGCAAATGTGTTACCCCGTGACGTGTAGCCGTCATGGAAGTGGGATTCCAATTACTAATGACTCGTTTCAGCTGTTCAGAGTCGATTCTTTATTTTGGGAGACAATAACTTTATTAATCGCGCACTTTCAGCTTTACAGCTTTGCAGATCGTTTACATTCACATACAGCTACATTACACGCTGCATGAAAGGCAATAGTGGAAATGGCATAATAGGGGCACTTTAAGTTTCATTAAAAATATCTTCATTTGTGTTTCAAAGACAAACAAAATAGTATTTTGAAATGGTTTGGAACAACATGAATAAATGACAGAATGTATAGTGGCACCAAAACAGAATAGCAAAAATAATAAATGTTTTCAAGCAGGTTTCCTAAACACTCTCCTCATCTCACCATTTTTCAAATTATCAACATATTCACTTGCATGAGCATTTCATTATGTCCTCCAGTTGAATTGAGTCCACCTAGGACCCCAAACATAGCATGCTAGCTCACCTTATACCCTATGAAAGTTACTGATTCTACATGTAATCTATGCTTCCTCTAATCAGGTATTACAAATGGCTGAACCTAGAATTTTACAGACAGACTTGATTCATGATTGATTTATATATGAAAATAATTAATTTTATACACTGCTTTCTTTAATGCTTGATTCTGATTGATCGGTCTCAGTAAGGTGTGCTACATTATAACAAATAATATTAGGCAATAAACCCTTTCAGGGGTTTATATGTGTCAGGCTGGATGGGATGCTCATACAAATCAGTCCATGAATAATTTCCATTTAGATGTTTCAGCATTTTAAGTTGGTAAAGTATTTTAACATTGAATAAAATACTCACTTCAGCTTTAATGCCATAGTGAAAATGTCAAGTCTGGGTCGTTTCCTCAGATATCAGTTATCAATTACATGTTTAAAATGATATATACTGCCAATGCCGCCCACAACAGTTATCAGGTATTATTATAATATAATTAAGTAGGAGAGAAAGGAAAACTAGAGTCAGTATAAGTATCTGGTGTACAGCTTGTGGAGGCCAAACAGTGAACAGTCTGTCAAATCCTGCCGTAATGAAACAGGCGTGCCTTCATCTATAAACGACAGCTGTATAGACTCCTATCCCAACATCATCAGACAGATTGAGCAAACAGAAGATTTATTAATAAGAGGGGCCGTAGTGGAAAGAGTGTGTGTGTGTGCTCACACACCCATATTCCATCATTTCATGTTGGTTTGATGAGCTGGCTCTATTGAGTTAGTTAATTGAATCTCCCACTTGCAGCCTTGATGTTATTGGGAAGCTTTTTGGCATTGTCTGATGAGCAGGTGCACTGACACTCTCTCGTTTTTAGGAAAGCTCTGTGGTCGGAATTGAAAAGTGAATTCAAAATGGCTTCCATCTTTGCCGTGTCTTGATATCTGTAATTAAAAAGCATTGTCAAGATATAATGCAGTTTGACATCTCCAAAAAACAAGGCCCCCAGTTGAGTTATACAAAACAGTGGGATATGAAGTTTGCCCATTTAATTAATGTCTTATTTGTTACATGGTTTCAAATAAATTCGAACACATGCTTTGACACAAAGATTTTCGCTTGTGGTTAGTTATTTTTAAAATCAACTCTCTACAGAAATTGTTTGTTTATTTGTATTGTTAATGTTTGAAAAGGTAAAAGCAATATTTTGTAAATGTGTAATTTGTATGTTATTTTACAGAGGGCCTTGATCCAAAAGGGGAGAATACAGGCTATAACTTTGCCTCCAATAGCAGTTCAGTTGCAGCAGCCATTTTAGTGCCTTTTATTGCCATGATCATAGCAGGCTTCGCTCTGTATCTCTACAAACACAGGTAAAGCAGTTCACAAAAGATGTATTGTTCATTGTACATTGATTTGTTTGTGATTTATTATGAATCACTCTTCCAGAATATTTGGTAATATGCCTTGTTTACTTTCAGAAAAAGGCCCAAAGTACCCTTTAATGGTTATGCGGGCCATGAGAACACAAATGGAAGGGCGACTTTTGAGAATCCTATGTATGACCGTAACATCCAGCCCACTGATATCATGGCCAATGAGACAGAGTTCACGGTCAGCACAGTGTGCACAGCAGTATAGCGACCGCTCTAGTCAAAGGTGAGTCTTCAACCAGAAAGATCTGTTCTTAGTGAACTGCCTACACAGATCACGGTATATGGGAGAATTGACTTCAATACAGGTAACTTAAAGAGGAATGACACAATATACTAATAAACATAAATATACATGACCTCCAAATTGCTGTAAAATAGTTTTATTATTTAAAATTGTATTTTATTATTTATAGATTTTTATTTTCTTTATTTTTTGTTATCAAATTGAATTAATTATAACTACAGTCTAATTGAGTTCTATTTATAAGGACATTTCTCTTGCTTTTTCTGCCATCTTGGGTTTTTTTTCCACTGAGATTATCGCAATGCATTCTGTCTTCCCCAAGCTTATGGAATGCAATGTTTTGAGTGAAATTTAAAAACTTGCAACTACTGAATTTATTTTTTTATTTTTTGCACTGCTTTCTGCAGTGACTGATTTTGATAAGTAACAGGTTATCAGGACCCCATTTGACCCTAATGTTAAAACAACCTTCACATCAGAAGTCCACTAGGTTTTGGAACAGAGCTAATAATTTATACTAACTGAGCTGGTTACAGTCTGATGATATTTTATGTTTTTTTTTTCCTAGAAGAACTTGTTTCTAGGTTTCAAAGTCATACCGTGACCTTAGCATTCTGCATCCATATCTACCGTGTTTCATTAGACTACTGTATAAACTAGCATGGTGTCAGGGATGAAAAGGTCATTGCCGAACACAGTTGAAATCTTGCGGTATAATAAGCTGAATGAGGACAAAAACCTCAGGGAAAAGGAAAAAAGACATATATCCTCTCATAATTGCTTTGGAATGATTTAAGGGCATCATTTGCTGTATATTTTGCTATTATTCTCAAACTGCCTTTTCAGCATATAGTTTGTTTGAATGTTGAGCGGGGAGTGGGGGAATTAAAACTGGAGAAAATGTACTTCTAAAACTGACTTTATCACCCTGGTTTTGCCCTCAGACAAAATGGAAAACAAACTGCTGAGGCAAGGGGATAAGGATAGAGAAGTATTGAATTTTAATGTATTTATTTCAGCTGGGTCTCTCCTTTTTTGTTGTTTTTAAAGAGCACCTCTAAGCCACAGACTATGAACTTGGGCAGGATTTGTAATTGGTTTCCCCTTGTATCCCATGTTTTTAAATCTTTTTTAAAAGATTGCTGCTGATTTTAACCTGAAACAGCTCTTTGTCATGTGGAAACATGCTTTTCTGCTGTTTGAGGATTTTTTGTTATTGCATTCCTAAATTACATGAGTTAAAAATGTACCTTGCTATTGCAGTCTGTTGTGATGATGTTAGTCCGATACTGTTGTGTTGAGCATCTCTTTCTCACTCCTTCTCTATTTTTTTCTCTTTTTCACCGTGTCCATCTGTGTTTTTATGTCTTTTTCATCTGACAAGCAGTGTTGCACAGTAACTAACTAAAGCCCGGCTCACACTGTGCGATTTTGGCCACGATTTGGTCGTCTGAGACAAATTTTGAAAATTGTAAAAGATTCCTATAATTCTAGGCTAAAATCTGTAGTCTTTGATTGTTAGTTTGACATGTTCACTGACAGCCGGTTAATGACTGTTGCGATCAAATTTTGGCAGTGTCAGAAGATTTGGCGCACAGTCCTGCAGTGTGACATCTCCTATGACGAACGTCAAACTGTCTTCGTTTTACAAGACAAGCCATGATCAGAATTAATGCTAGAGATTTCTTCTAACCGCATAAACTCCGGCACTCCCGTCCTCCGCTCACGGAATTCATCCGATATGTTGCCTTTGCTCTGATAAACACCGGTTGCGCTGCTGTTTTCATGTGGGTGTGTAGTCCTACTTGCACTATTCTGCATAAATACGCAGGTATTGCCACCATTCATATACTTTTAATGATAGCCAACATTACAGCCCTGCGTGCAATGCAGCTCGCAATCACTGAACGTGTATGGGTTGATAAGGTAAAACTCCGGACAAGTTTTCTTGTGCGCACCCGTTTTTAACGTGTCTTGACTGTCGTACAGTCTGACATTAATGACAACTGAGATCCCACAGTGTGACATGATCATCATGTTCGTACAGTCTGACAAGTACAATCCTAAAGGACTTTTAAAAAATCGCACAGTGTGAGCCCAGCTTCAAGTAGCATTGCCAACTACATCTTTCAGTATCCTAACAGAGTAGTGTACCAATATATGAAGCACAGCTCACACAGAAGTCACTTACATACCAAGCAGCTTTCCGTTGGTCAACTCAATGTTAAGAATTGTTTCGCTCTAACTCGAAATTCCTGATCACATCGATTCCTATTGAAATGACTGGATTTTGCATGTGAAAATTCACAGAACAGTGGTAAATGTGACTTTACAGTAAATAGCTTCAATGTAGTTAGCCACTTTTTAGTAACTTGTAGTGTAGCTACTTTGACAGAAGTTTAACTAGTTTAAATAATGAGTAGCCTGAGAAATCTCAAAGTGGTTTCTTCAAAACTGCTGACAAACGTGTCTTCTCTGTTCTTTTCATAGGCTGGATATAATCGTTCCCTCTCCACGCAACTTTTCCCATAGTTACGAATGGGCCACATGGATGGACTAAAGAGGAGGATTTTTTGTTTTTGTTTTTAATTTGTAAACCAATTCCAATTGTGACAAAGTGATAAACCTTGACAACGATGCTGTCAAAGCGCATCAACAGAGATGCACTGATAAAGACCCACGTCAGTGTTTGCTAGCTACAACTCTGTTCCTACACTCTTCTGCGGTCTCCTCTTTTTTCCTTCTGAGGGAACGTCCTGTTTGACTGTGGCAGTGCAAAGGGACACATGTGAAGCTCACAGCCATCGCTTGCCAAAAAATGACAAGAGATACATAATTCTCACTCTTAATTTGGAGGAAGTCTTCATGTGAGCAGGAAGTCATGAGAAGCATGTTGCTGGAGAGTTGAAGCTTTCTTTTACTTTCGTACCTTGAGTTCTTGCCATGGAGTGCGTTTTGGCTTGTTTTATCCCCTTTCCACCTTGAGCTGAAATCACAAACAAGTGCAGACTTCACCGAGGACACTCTCTCTGACCTTCCCCATCAGCTCCCTAAGTATGTAACCTCACAACTCGATCTGAAGTGGAATGAGAGGCTTCTGAGGCTTATTAGAAGACATGGATTCTAGCTGTAGCACCTCTCTTCTCATTTCAGCCTGAAGGAACGAGTGTTCTCCCACCATCTTATCATGATCCTGGCTGAAAATGGACAGTCCAACCATCCGAGCAGCTCAGCTGAGAACATGAAAAGATGTGTTTTGGTGTTCAGGGGCTTTATGAAGCTGACTTCATGGCCATTATCTGCTATTATTTCCTTTTTCTCAAACTGACAGAAGAAAAACAGCCCACATTAAAGGGTTGGATTTGTATTAGCCAGGTATCTGAACCCCCTCATCGTGTGTTTGGATGTTATGAATTGGATGTTTGTGGGCTGGGATATCATGGTGAAGAACCGTTTGTTAGCATTTATAGTTATTCCTGATATCAGACAAGTTTTAAGTGGTTGGCTTATGTCATTGAATGACATGGATCCAATGATTTTCATACATAGAGTAAAGACAACACAGCCCTTGAAGTACAGAGGTAAATGTAACTTGAGATGTGTCTTTCATAACCAGGGGAGGGTCTGCTTTCGGTCCTCAAGTTCTGAAGTCAAGGATAAGAATGACATGAGGGTTTTAGTCAAAAGGAGCCAACGCCAAATGAGCATGAAAATATTTAATCTCTGTAGCTTTCTGTCATAATCTGTTTCCCTGCACATTCCTCTATGTCATCCATGCCCACGCCACACTTAAGGAAAAGGGGCTTAGAAGTCACTCCTTAAAATACTAATCCAAGGCTGGTTGTTTATTTGCATACATTTGCATTTGCACCAGTAACATGAAGAGAAGGTTTGAAGATGAGCAAGAGCTTGGGAAGTTCAGAGGGGGGGGATAGATCTGACAATGAATTGGATTGCATACTGCATAACATACATTTTGTTATCAAAGTACACTATATTCTGGGTGCAGCATCTTTTAACTGGCCGGTGTTATTGAGGTTTGTAATTCAGTTATTGAATATTATTGCCTCTGCTTGTTTCTGCAGCATTCTGTTCAATTTTCTTGTCTTATGGCCTCTTGTTACCTGATGCCGGCATTTACTTTCCAGTGGGCATTTAAAATCCTCCAGTTTATACGCTGTACTGTTCCGTTCAGCTTCTGAAATCAATCACTGATATAATTGCTTTTACAGGTTTATTACTTTTTAAATCGGTAGCCTATCATGGTTGTTTTAATATGATATTACCCAGAGCTTGTTTCAATTGTAAGTTGATTGAAAAAGCAAAGATTGTATTTTCATTGGGATTTTATGGGCCAGGAGTTAGCAGGTACATTATCTTCAACCTATTGACATTAACTTTATATTTACAAGACTGTTGCATGGCTGTTCTTTTTAGGAGAATTTCATTTTGTATTCCTTTATCAGTGTAGATGGCATCTTATTGCAGTTTCCACATATCAGACATCATTTTGTTGAAGTTGATCTCATACTGACTTGGGAGTTTTACATTTCTTACTGTTGCATTTTACGTCTCAGCAACCCGACAACAATAGCAATGCTGCCAGGTTTACAATGCTGACATTAGAAATGGCGCCTTGTAAAATCCTACAAAAGATGCACTTTGCTAGCGATAACACATACACACAAAATGTCAAGGCACAAGGGCTTCAAAGTCATCACCTCTATTTTATTTTTCATCTTTATGTGTATATTAACCCAAAATGTTGTTGAAAGATCTAGGCAGCCTGTGTTTTATGCTTGTCCATCTGTTTCTCGTAACAGTGCCTTGGTAACTCTATATGTGGTATATCCAATCTCTTCTTATTGCTCCGTTTTTATTATTATTGCACACTGGTCAAGAGTTGCCAGTTGCTAAGGGAGAATTTCAAAGATGCAGCCTCGTTTTTTTTTGGTTTTTTTCCCCTTTGGTATGGAGTCAAGTCTTTGTTATTCTCAGCTTAAGAGAATCACACAAACACAAAAATAATAACCAGCACCCCAAAACATGTAATTCATTTACATATTCACATATTCCTTTTGGTTAGAACCTGCACTTTAACGGAGCAAGTAAATGCTGTTTTATATTCTTTGGCCTTCGTGCTAGCATGTGTCATGAAACTATTCTTATATTGTGAATATTATTCATTTTGCAAAACCTATGGTGCTGCTATGCCAAAGTAAAAGGCATCAATCTATTTTATATACATATATAGAGAGAAATCCAGCCAAAATCAAAAGCATTACAGCATTTATTATGTTATTTATGGCATTTAGCAATGCTAACAGTGAATTAGCTGAAGCGCTCAACACATTCTTGTCTGCGTTTCAGTCTATAGCAGTGTAGTCATTGTACTGATCACTGTAACAGACATGTTCCCTTCACAGCGCTGATGTGTTTTCAGTGTCAGGCCATTTTCATCAGAACCAGTGCTTGCATCTTCATATGAAGAACTCTGCTTGGCAGCCCTCCATATATGTTATGCTCAGCCCGACCGAATCACACACACACATCCGCTAAAACAGATCAGCACCTTAGTTCATTTAAATTAACTAAGTCACAGGCCACATGTCACGTCACTTTAAATTCTTGAATATTACCTTCACATATATGTGATGAGTATATGGCAACCTTTTCATCAAAGGTTCTGTTGGCATGATGTGAAAGAGAGCATGAAGCAAAGAGGATTGCGAAGACTTGGATGATCATGTCAAGACCACTTCGTAGTGTCAATGTATTTGTCTCATTTATCATAGTCTTTATAAAAATGAGAATTTTAGATGTAGACAATATCGGGATTGCACTGAATGTATTTTTAATTTTGGAAATATCTATGCTATACATACGGTGAACATCCAACAAACTACGTAACTAAACCAGTAATTGGAAAAACAGCACCACTAAAAGACTGCATATCAATATATTTGAATTGCACACTGCAGCTTATATTGGATAAGTATATGAAAATGTTATACTACAGGATGAACATATCAGTTCTGAGTGGAGGTCAGTGTGACA